CTAAAAAAATAATAACGTAAATTTGAATAAAAGCCATACAGCCTCAAATAAATAAAAAATTAGAATCGATTAATAGTAAAATAAATTGTCTGCCTTCATAATCATTTAAACCGTGTGCGCTCAGGTAAACATAAGGCTCGGAAAATGAAAATTTATTTTTTTATTACTTAAGCATTTGATCCAACAAATAAGAAAATAATAATAACAACATTTAAAATTATAACTTCTGTCTATTAATATTTATATAAGTCCATTTAAAAAAAAACAAATCATTCGTTTAGATGTTAAACATCTTCTTATAAAATACTATATAAAACTTTATACAAACAAAAATAGATAAAAATAAGACTAAAGTAATAATAAGTATATAATAAACTTAAAAAAAATAAAAATTATTTTCGCTTTAGTTTGTCACAGTTAAATCTAAAAACTAGCAAGGTTATATGAACTTGATTTGTTCAAGACTGTAAAATTTTTCAAAGGAATTTAATGTTGAACTACTCTATCAATTTAATGCAATTTTAAAAATCTTACACTGATACATTAGGTCTTAACGCCTCGTTGTGTTTTAATAAGACAAAATACACTGATACATTAGTATAGCTCTTAACGACTCGTTGTGTATAAGAGAAAATTAAGTTTTATCGTTCTTTAAAAAATCACAAAAGCTAAAAATTAAAAGACTGGAATGTTTTTAAAAACATTCAAAATGTTTTTATTTTTTTAATAAAAATAAAAACATTTTGATTGTTTTTATTTTTTATTGTTTACATACATCGACTGACAAATAGGTAGAACATGCGAGGAGCGCTTGCTACACAAATGAGGGTTTTGGCTTAGGCAAATAATTTTTTTTTTAAAGTTTTTTTTTACGGTCTTTTAAATTAATTTAAAAAAAACAAAAAACAAAGCTGACACTTTACGGCAAAAATTACAGACGACCAAGCGAGAGTATATATATTTAGCAAAGCTTTTTAATAAAAATAAGCATTAGGCATTTTGATTGAGTAAACTATAAATTATTATAAATATTTTAACTATTTTATGTATTTATAAACTATTCAATATTTCCAATCAATATTAATGGTATGCACTGCGTGCCTGGATGAAATTGAACCTCTATGGAAACACGCAAAAAAACGTATTATGTCATTATTTTACACACACACACACACACACACACACACACACACACACACACACACACACACACACACACACACACACACACAGATATATATATATATATATATATATATATATATATATATATATATATATATATATATATATATATATATATATATATATATTAGTTATAAAAATTATAAAAATGAAAAACATTTGTTAGAAAAATTTTGAGAAATAGCCCTTTAAAAAAACCCAGCAAAAAAAAAAAAAAAAGAAGAAGCTATAAAATCTTTTTTAAGATTTTTAAGTTTGTCTTTTGTAAGTTTTTTAACTCATGTTCTGAAAACTGACCAAGTCCCCTTCAAGTTATGTTGATGAACTGCTCAATATGTGTGACTATTACATGAAGCTTAGGGGTTTTCACTCAAAACTCTTCTTGTAAAAACTTAAAAGACCTCCTTGGATTTTTAAAAACATTCTTATAATCAGGATCTACAGACACAAAATGCAAAGGCAATGACCTAAAAATCACACAGATCTTTAGAAAGTACTTTCTCCTATAAAGAAGTTTTAGAACCTTAAAACACTCATTACCTTTAAGTGTGTCACCATGGTATGGTTCCAAGAGAATAGAATGTCCTGCTAACCAATCCTGAAGTCCAGGCCAAATATTCTGTAGCTCTTTAAGGACATGATTTAGGGACAACTTTAGATGAAGAGATGGTGGTGGACTCTTAAGGATCACTAAGCTATCATCAGGATCATCTTCATGAAAGAGCAAAAGAGTCACCACACAGTTAGTGTACATTTTTGCTTTAATCTTTTTACCTCCAAAAGTTATAATGTTCTTAGTGTAACATCTGTCTGCCAGGCTTCACTTCCTTCGCTATTTGGAGACTCACAGTATAATGATGGATATTTTAATGCACATGACATTATTCCAGACACAATGTTTAAGAGTTTAAGGTCACCAGTGAAGATGAACAATAGAAGATTGATTTGAGTCTTCTCTATGAATATCTTGCAGTTATGATATGTCTCTGGAACTTTTGGAACTGATGCAATGATCTAAATCTTCTTTGTGATGATTTCCTAAATAAAATTTTATTGAACACTTAATACAAATAAACATATAAGTTAAAAGCAATAGCATACGAGGATTAAAGTTATTTTTACCTGAACCAATACCTCTTTTCCTGTTTACTTTACTAGAAGATTTAATGAATGTTAATTCATCTGAATCGCAAAGTGTAAGAGATTCTTTAGATGTCCTTTTCCAAAATCAAGGCTGAACTTTGAAGCCATCTCTAAGAAAGTTTGTTCATTACAATTTAACAAATAATGCAAATATTCATCATTTAAATTAAAATAATAAATATAATATTTTAAAAACAAAATAACAATCAAAATTTTCATGATTACCTTAGATATGCTAGTTTTTCTACAAATTCCAAGATATTGGAACAGATAATAAAGGGTCGGATTATTTCTTTCCTATTAGAGTCTTGAAATGTAGTTAATTCCTGAGCAAATAACTTTCCAAAGATACCTTTCTGATCCCTCATAGCCTCCTTTATGCAAGGAACAATACATTTTCATCCCCCCTTTAAGTCTCAAGTTTTTTAGAACTGAAATAACTTGACGATCAGTCAGCTTAGTTTCTTGTTATATTAAAGAGACATTCACTGCATTCGGAAATCCCTTAGCAATTGTTTTGCTGTTCTCTTCCAACAAGAGCATCAAAGGTTTTCCACCATTAGGTGACGTAATGGAGACATATTATTCCCAGAATGTTATATACTTTTTTGCAATTTAATTGATTCACAATTTTAAACACTACTTTTACAACCAAATATATCATTACATTAAAAGTCCTTCACAAAACAAACAACATATACTCCTCTACCTCCTCCTACTTCAACTCCTTCAGCCCATCTATATATTTCTAAACCTTAACTGCATTGAAACAATAAAAGTTTAAAAAAAAGTCCACAAAATAATTATCCCTTTTGCCCAAATCCTTGGAAAGTAATAATTTTTCAAACGTAGGTTTTCTATTAAAATTAACTAGGTATATTAAAAAATAAAATAATATTAAAAAATAAAAGTTATGATTTTATATATAAATACCTTGTTATAGTTTACAGGTCATCTTTGTTATTGTTAGATTAACTGTAGAATCTCCATTTTTTATCTTGTTTTTTTGTTATTTTTTTATCAAGTCCAATCTGCAGTCAATACAAAGTCCAGATGGGAGCCTTAGATCTTGCAGTGAATAGCTTGACACTATAAAAGTTTTTAGTTCAACCTCTTGAGTATTTGTAACTTTCCTGTTTGCTTTATTCCCTTTGTGCAAATGCAAATCGCACAAACTTGTGCACGGTTTTCATCGTGAGATTTTGGAGGCATTGTAACTAGCTCACAAATTATGTTTGATTTTTTAGTTATATATACTAACCTAATAATACCTTATATAATTAATTGTTTAAATAAAGTTTTAATTAAAATCAAATTAATAAGTAAGCTAATTTAGTTAGCTAATATATAATAAGCTTATTTGTACCCTTTAGGGTTTAAAATGCACTGTTATTGAGACTCGGACCTTTAACAATAAATTACAGAAAATAAAAAAATCTGAAAATATATAATAAAATGAAAATAAAAATGGCGTAATTTTTTACATTCAACACTACAGACAAGAAAATTAGTTTTTATCCTGTTTTTATAGCTTCTTTTAATTTTTCAGGTTTTAAAGGACTATTTCTCAAAGTTTTCTCAACAAATGTTTTTCATTTTTATAATTTTTATAACTAATATATATATATGTAAAAGAATGGCATAAAACGTTTCTTTGAGATTCATTTTTGTTTCATAGAGATTCACTTTCATCCTGGCACCGGGTGTATAATTAATTAGTAAATACATTATAATTTAATGTTCTGTCCTTTTTCTTGTCTTAAAATGAACAAGTTAAAAAATAATATTAGATTCCAGCACTAGAAACTGGTGCAATTAACGAACCTTTAATACCCATTATAATGTTACATTCCTTACATTTTAGAGATTTTATAGATATATTTTTAAAGACAGATAATTTGCATATCTTTTATATCATAGCTTTTGTTAAATGAAGCAGATTTGCTTTTGTTGAATGAACCATATTTAGTTTTCAACTCATTATTGGTACCAAACTCTTGAACTCATTATCTGTGAAAGTCATTGGAGCTTCATTTTCATTTTCAGAACAATTATACCTGTATATAAAATCTAGGATCTCATGTGTTTGCTAGGATATAAGCATCACTGAGAGTCTGATGATATCTAGTTTCCTATATATTTTTTTCATTTGATAAAAATAGCATGTTTATCAACTCTTAAAAAATTTCAAAAAAGTCACTTTTTATCTACTTAAATTGGTTTTTATATTTTTAATCTTCAGCATTTGCTTTATCTGTATGTTACTTTTCTATTAATCAAAGGACCCAAATCTCTACCTTTGTCATTGAGAAAATGATGCTTTAGTTATTGACTTAATTTTCAAGTGAACCACTCTCTAGAGTGAATACAAAACTGAGAGAACTCTTTTAATGTTTACTAAACACTTATATAATTATTGTGCTCTTTTTTTTTCTTGTGTTTATTTTTTTATTTTCATAAAATATTAAAAAAAGAATTTTTAGTAAAGACATTATATTATCGAAGCACTGATATAAAATATAAAAAGCACTACGCCATTCTCTTTTGCACAAACGTAATGAATGAGCAGTTTGAAGTTAAACATTAATTTTCAACTGAAAGAATTCTAGAGTGTTTCAGTAGAAAGTAGAAACTTTGATGATTCTTTCATATATATTTTATTACTTGGTAAT